TCGGCTGTTTGCGTTCCGGGATTGCGCCGTGCGGTAATGGTATGGATTGGAACCTGCTGCTCTAGTGTGAGCTGGTAAATCGCGATGGCTGGGTGTTCGTTCTTAGTAAAATGGCTTAGACTGTCGGCTTTTAGAAGGTGTGTATTACCCTTGTCAGCCCTAACGTGTCCGAGGAATGACAGGCCTACGCTGCGGCTTGCAAAAACGGAGATGCTTAATTCCTGCATCTTTCAGTGGCATCTGGGGCAGGTTGCTTTATTTTTCTGTAGCATGTAGCGGCGAACAATTGCACCTTGGTAGGTGTGAAGGTTATCAGTAGGATAGTGATAACCGTGAGATGAATACATGTAAAGAGGTTAGTAACTCGTCCCAAGTATAAATACATGTTTTGGTTTTAATGCTGAATTTGTGATTTTGTTTGGTCAGAGCTGAACATCATTGCAGTGATAAATAAAACACTGTCAGCGGTGCTGGTAATCTGTCAGGAACCTAATTCTCTTCTCTGTCAACAAAATTTAAGGAGTTCTTATTTGGAATGGAACACAGGAGCTATGAAGGGAACTCCATATTCATCCTAACATCTGGGTCTGCGTATAGGCAGCAAAATAAGGAATTGTTTTCATTAAAAGTGAGTAACTTGCATTAAGTTAGATTTCTTTACCAGCTTTCTGTCCCCGTGCCCACAGCACGCCCTTAAGTAATATTTTGGTGACTGTTAGATAACTAAGACTTTGGGCTTTGTTTTATTTTGTTTGATTTGAGACTTGTTTATGGATAAAGCTGTAAACTTGTAACTTCATAGAATAAATGGATTTTTACTCTTTGGCTTACATAGCTAAGCAAGTGGATTTTCTGTTCTTGCTTTCATGTAGCCTCAGTTTTTTAAAAAAATGGATTACAGCTGCAGAGTTTTTGTAAAGTCAGTTTTTCTGCTTATTTAAAATTACCTATTTTATTTGATATTGGAATCACAGAGAAGGCGCTTCCTTGGTGTTACAGATTTTGGGTTTATGTTACACTCTGGAGTAGTAACATTTAACTCTGTAAAACTGATCTTCATGTACTTTGCTTATCTTGAACTTCTATTAAAAAAAAAAGTTGATTTTTAGGAAAGTGTCACAAGGTTTGCCTGAAAAAAAAATTGGGGTTTTTTTGTTTGTTTGTTTTGCTTTATATGCTGTGACAGTTCTTCCATCTCTGAGTGAGAGAAGCTGGGCAGAATTTCCTGGTAGATAGCCCAAAACAGCATCCAGTCAAAATGTGCTTTGTTTGCTTTCCCTCTGCTTAGGCAGCAGGCGTGCTTATATCAGCTGAGCGTGCTGTGGCATTCCCAGGGACAGGTCCTGTATCAGGATCAATATGATCAGTTTTCATGCTGATTATTTATGGAGACAAAAAAAAACCCAAAACAAACCAACAAACAAAAAAACCAACAAAAAAAAACCCAAACCTAAGCAGTTGTTACCAGTTTAGCATGGTTCTAATTCAGTTCTGTTTAACATCTTCATTGATGATTTGGACGAGGGGATTGAGTGCACCCTCAGTCAGTTTGCAGAGGACACCAAGCTGGGTGGGAGTGTTGATCTGCTGGAGGGTAGGAAGGCCCTACAGAGGGGTCTGGACAGGCTGGGTCGATGGGCCGAGGCCAACTGTATGAGGTTCAACAAGGCCAAGTGCCGGGTCCTGCACTTTGGTCACAACAACCCCACACAACGCTACAGGCTTGGGGCAGAGTGGCTGGAAAGCTGCCTGGCGGAAAAAGACCTGGGGGTGTTGGTCGACGGCCGGCTGAACATGAGCCGGCAGTGTGCCCAGGTGGCCAAGAAGGCCAACAGCATCCTGGCCTGTATCAGAAATAGCATGGCCAGCAGGACCAGGGCAGTGATCATCCCTTTGTACTCTGCGCTGGTGAGGCCGCACCTCGAATCCTGTGTTCAGTTTTGGACCCCTCACTACAAGAAGGACATTGAGGTGCTGGAGCGTGTCCAGAGAAGGGCAACAAGGCTGGTGAAGGGTCTGGAGCACAAGTCTGATGGGGAGCGGCTGAGGGAGCTGGGGGTGTTTAGCCTGGAGAAAAGGAGACTGAGGGGAGACCTGATCGCCCTCTATGACTACCTGAAAGGAGGGTGTAGGAAGGTGGGGGTTGGTCTCCTCTCCCCAGTAACTAGCAATAGGACAAGAGGAAACGGTCTCAAGTTGCGCCAGGGGAGGTTCAGGTTGGATATTAGGAAGAACTTCTTCACTGTTAGAGTTGTTAGGCATTGGAACGGGCTCCCCAGGGAGGTGGTGGAGTCATCGTCCCTGGAGGTGTTCAAAAAACGTTTAGATGTGGTGGTTCAAGACATGGTTTAGCAGGCATGGTGGCATCGGGTATACGGTTGGACTTGATGATCTTTGAGGCCTTTTCCAACCATAATGATTCTATGATAGCTTTTGCATTTGTGGAATGCTATGGTGAAAGGAAAGTGCATGTTTCAGTAGATTGACTCACCTAGACTGTCAGTAACGTAAAAGCACACCTCCTAGACTCACTCAGGTGATTTACTGAACGTGCCATGAAGTCAGTTGTTCCCTCTTTTCACAAAACCGCTTTAAAGCACTCAGCTTTAACTTGACAGGTGACTATGCATTTATTCATGGGATTTAGGATCTGTAGCAACAATCCAGCAAAAAAACAGTTTTATTACTCAGGCCTGCTTCAAAGCTCTATCTGCTTTCCCTTCTCTCTCTCTCTCTCCTTTGCTCCCTCCTTCTCTTCTCCACCCCACCCGGATTAAACTATAACTTAATTCTGTAATAAACTCATGCTTATCTAGCTGAGCAAGGCAATTGGATTTGACTTACTTAAACTTTTCTTTTAAACGTGAGCAGTTGCTTTATTTTAGTTGGAATAAAGGGTTCTGAATATTCCTCTCTTTTTACAAATAAAAAGTAATCTGAGCTTGTGGAATAAATAACTCCCAAATGTTTTGGTGTTGTAGGAGACCAGTGACATGGAAGAGAAGCCAGTATTACTGGACATGTCTTTGAGTTTCATCTGTTGCTGCAACATTTACTAACTGTTTGTATTCGAACTACAGGTGGGTTGGTCTGTAGCAAGCTCTATTTTATTGCCCACACAGGTGCATCCCACTTGTCCTAAAGCTTCTTCTAGGAGCACCGATGCAGTTGCTCATGTTGGAGGTCATAGCGTATTGGACCTAGTAGCTATTCTCTAGATTAGCTGCTCGCCAGGCTGTCTGCGCTGCACATGCTTTTCATCATCAGTAAAATATCCACTTGGATTTTCAGTATCAGGCTTTATTCAAAGACATGCAGTGGCACAAACTAATGGCTTGATCCAGCAGCCTGAGAATTCTTAGCGCAGTCTACAGTAAAAGCAAGCAACAAGGACGTTTTGGTATTCCTCTTGGTTCCAGCAGGTGGAACTACATGGCTGCTTGGAGTAAGTCTAATGTATTTCATCACTTAATAAGAGGTGGAGGGGGCAGGTCCCAGACAGAAGCCTTCAGGAGAGTTAGCATTCAATTGATGATATGTCAGCATTTCTACGGTAGTCTTAGCATGTAATCCAGTATCCTACAAGTCTGTTTAATGTGCAAACATAGGTTTTGTCTACAACCATTGTGAGTTGACTGTAACAAAATTGCTGTGGAGGTGCTAACATGAAGCTTGCTTTTGCAGATGTAGTCCTAGAGGTGTTAGTCCTAGATGGATGTTTGCTGTCTTGCATGGATACCTTGAGTCCTGTTTCAAGGACCTGTTTTTTGGTTGTTGGGTTTTCTTTTACTGTTTCCCTATGTCTTAAGGTAAATAGCTTCTAATGAAAAAGAACAGGAGACCGGGTGCCTCTATGGGGCGGAAGGGAACGGAGGCAGAAAGAAAGTCAGTCTGTGGGGAAATCTTGATATGATTTATTTTTTTTCTTAGAAGTGCTGGGAAAGCTTAGGAAGGGAATAAGTTGATTTTCTATCTAAAATATGTCCTTGAAGAAAGGGGGTTTGATTTCTCTGTAATAAAATTGCAGTTTACTCTGTTTCTAAGTATTTGGTTATGATAGCAGAAGTTTTCTTAAGAATTAGTAGTTTTAAATATAAATATTTCCTTCATTGCACTTTAATTGTTTACTGTTATTTGCTATTTGTCTTAGAACAAGATGCGATAGACTTAAGTTTGTTGTGTTTTTCTAACTGGATCTTTACCTACGTCGGGGTTTAGATCTGCTTTTTGAACTGGTGTTCCTCCTCTGCGTTGGTTTCTTAGCTGGGCATAAGCATTGTCTGCCATATCCCTTTCTTTTGGATTCAAGCAGATCTGTCATATCCAGAAGTTACAGGTTCTTAACTATTTGGAAAAAGTTGCAGTTCATTAACAAAACGTAATTCAGTACTGTGTGGATCATGCTTGTACAGTCACAATTAGTGTTGCACTTAAGTGTCGTTCAGCTGGTATTATGAAATATTTCCCATAGGATCAGCATTGTAGGTATTTAATGTTCATAGCTTGCAGTGTTTCCTGCTTGATTTTTTTCTCTTTTAGTAAAGAACGTTATGTTTATATGCAAGATGAAACTCTGCTCTTAACAAGTAGAATAAAAACTTCCTTGCTGTAGAAATTACTCGTTTGATTGACTTTTCCTTTTCCATTGTTGTCTTATGCTCTGGTCCACAGCAGTTACTGTGAAATCTGTTGTAAAGTTCCTGTTGTAAAGTAGTATCTGACTTGTTGCAGTTCAGGACTACTAGAGAGCTTGAAGCTTTTTGTGGCACCTTCTTGTTGCTTTATATTTATTTTTCATCTTTCAGCTCTCTGAAAAAGTTACCACTGGAGTTACTACTGACAGAAGTACTGTCTTGGCAAGTGTAATTGCTGCTTGCAGAAGGCTTTTCTCTCAACCTCCCAAAGGTGATTATAACTTTGATCAGTGAAGTGAAGCAGACCGCATTCCTCGCTGAGGTCTGCACTTGTGTGCCATTTAGGTTTACTGTCTGCGGGGAAGTAAGTTCTTGTACTAACCAGCCATTAATCTTGAGGTGGAACATTGATTTATGGGATTTTTAGGAGCTATTACAAGAATGACTGTGGTTTGCTCAACTTCATGCTATGCAATGTAGTTTTCTGTTGAACTAAGCTTGTCTATCTCTGGTTTAAAGGGTAGCTTTACTTTAGGTTATTAAATATATGTGATATTTTCTTGTCAACAGTAGTAGTTTTATTTATGGAAACCTGGTAGAGCTCTTCAACAAAAAGCAAGAACAAAACTATTTTTGCAGTCTGTATGTTGCTAGCTTCTTTGCTGTTGCATGCATTCAGCTTGTGACTACTGAAATGTAATGCCAAAATTGTAAACTAAAAAACAATTATGATGGGCGCTTTCACTCTTTCTTAATAGGATTTGAAAAATACTTTCCCAATGGCAAGAAAGCTAATGGAACTAAAGGTACCGCTGGAGAAACAAAAGGTACAAAAAGCTGCTTGATTTCAGTTCTTTTTGTGGAATGTGTATTCATTAGATTAGATTTTAGCATAACATTGTGGATTTAGGTTTTGGGTGTTTTGTTTATTTTTCAGGGAAGATGTTTGTGTACTAGATTAGTTTAAAAGTACAAATTGATACATTTTTATTAAATTATATTTTGGTTTCATATCATGTATATCTTCTGGAATAACGTTTATTTTCTCTTACACTTCTGTTAGAATGCTGTCCTTAAATTCTTCTTTTACTGTTTCCTATTAGTTGACGTTAGTCATGCATTGAGAGATTCTCTACGTGCATAGTTCTCAGCTTTTCCTAGAGCAAGCTAAAATACCCATTTTGTTGTATGGAATAACTAGAATTGTCATTCTGGGTGAGGATCCAGAACCAGCTCTTTAGCCAGGACCAGCTACGTAGCCTGCTGCTTGAAAGAGGAGTTAGTAGTGGCGGTGCTAGAAGGAGCCCTGCCTTTACAAGGAGGGGGGTAAATTGAAATTATTAGCGCTAACAGCCACTCCATTGTATCAGAAATCTATATAACATCCGAGGAGGAGGAGAGGCAGCAGCAACCCTGTGAGTCTCTTATGAGAGTAGTAATAGGAGCAGCAGTTTTCCTTTCACTGGGCCTTGAATGGTAAAATCTAGTGTCATGCCTGAATGCCCAGATGACCAGGGTCTTGAAAAAGCTAGGGCTGGAAGGAGTGTGTGTTAGTGTTGTGTTCCATCTTGCCCTCTTGAGTACCTTGACACATGACATTATGCTACACTGTGCAGGCACCTTGTGAGTTGGGCGAGTAGAAGAATGATTTAAGGTGGACTCCTCACTCCTTACCTCCTCACAGGTGGCTGTTACTGTGCTTATCTCTAGAATATTAAAAAGGGATGCCAGCCTGTGATATCGATAAACCCTGAGCTTTAAGAGACCATAGTGTGACTGGAGGGGGGAATTATTGAGGAAGGAGATGTTACTTAGAGCTTATGGTGGTGGGTTTTTTTAAAAAAAAAACACACAAAACAAAAAAAGCCCTACAACCCACCCACACCACTCCCCCCCCCAACCCAACAGAAAGCCCCACCAATCCCCCCTGCCCCCACAGAATACTTAGAATAATCTTGCACGTCTTGGATTAGTACAGGAGAAAAAACTTTCATGCAGTTTCTGTAACAAGCTTCTTTTTGTATTCGGGATATTTTTCAGTTCTTGGTACCCAAGTGTCATCAGTTACACGATTAACAGACCTCTCTTCTGATCATAACGGCATGAAATAGATGTCTCTGCCAGTTAATGGACTATATATCTGTTTTTCTATGGAAAATTAAGTTTCTCACATCTGATTATTGTAGCATTGCAAACTAGTTCATTTTTCAGAACAACTCATTAATTTTAAAACTAATAAAAACTAATGTGAGATTGGTATAAGATGTAAAGATGTATTTTTTTGTTATGTTTTATTTTTGTTAGAAGTGAAGCAAGCTAGTGTCCGACCACCTAGTGGGAGTAGTAATGGAGGAGGTGGCAGTGGTGGAAAAAAAGGTGGCAAGAAAGAAGAAACTAACTGGTGGACCAGATTACAGAAGGTCTTGACTTCAAAATATCTCTTTTTGATACTGACTGTCTTGTCCCCATGAAATAACCTTGCGTGTTTTTTGCTTTTTAGGGCCATATTCTGGTTGCCTAAATCTTCCTTAAGCCTCCTGTGCCTAGTATTTCATACTAACTGGCTCTAGGTGGCTCCCCATTCAGTGTCTTTCATAAATTACCACTCTGCATTTACCTTCAGCAGCTCTGACTCTGGTTCAGGAACGTTAATGGAGTTTTAAGCTATATGAATATGGTTGCTAGTAGTTGGTATTCTTATAGTGGAGCCTCAGCCCTTTAAAGGCTTCGTATTTTGTTTCAGAATGTCAATTTGTAAAACTTGCTGACAACACAATGCTAGTTAAATGTAGTTTACTGTTAGCCATTCTGACCTTAATGGAATACCTATGTACGTTTCTTTTTGAAATTTATTGTCGTTACCTGTAGCACAGAGATGATAGCATCTGGCAGTACAAGAACATAAATAATATTTTTCTGGTTTTACTTGGTGCACATAACTTTTTTTCTTCCTTCCTGGGTTTGCCTGTTAGTTTTCTTTTCCTTTATTTTTGTCAGTCTTCCATGTAGTCCTGGAGGGCAGGGAAAGTTGTTTTAGAATGGAGGCAGAAAGGTCATACAACAAATTGCAAAACTTAAAAAAAAAAAAAAAAAAAAAAAAAATAGTAGTTCATAGATCAAAATTGTTCAACTACTATTTGTAAAACACCTACAGATTTTCTACTAATGTTGTAATTCCTCAGCTATATCTGAAGTTACTGAAGCGTCTTCATACAACAAAATACAGCTTTGTTTGGCATTCTCTGTGGTAACCTTGAGGACAGGGAATGGAAGCCAGAAATAGATAGTAGAAACTGTTTGTTACATACTTACTGTATTACAGACTCTCAGACTTTTTTTTTTTCTCTATTTCCTAGGGTGACATTCCATGGGATGTCAGGGAGTTTCGGATGTACGTAGTGGGAAGTTCTTTTTTCTGGACAATGGTTGTATATTACTTCTTCTTCAGGGTCCCTGGGAGAGAAATCACCTGGAAAGACTTTGTCAATAACTACCTTTCTAAAGGAGTGGTGAGTAGTGAGGGGAATCAAAATGCAAAATCGGTGTGCTGAAGATGCTCATTTCTGCCTCCCTGCTTATGCTTGTATTCATGCGTCTGTGGAGTGAGAACTGGCTCAAGAGTAGCTTCTGAGGGAGAAAGGGATTAGCTTTGATCTTAAATCAGTTCCTTGATCTCTGGATGACTGTGAAGATTTCTGTCATTTCAAGCGAGGAGAGGGAAGGAGCAGCTCAGGACAGAACTCCTTGGTTGGACTGGTCGGGGTGGTGCTAGTTTGAAG